AGTACTGGCCGCACCTAAGTCTTCTGGTCTCAGATGAAGGCATAGTTCCTGTGAGCTACTAACCCAATAGACTTCTTTCTTCTCTGGGTCTTTGGTTTCCTTCGTTCTCTTTCATTGCAAATGAGTAGAGAAAAGTAAACCATATTTTAGATGGTCATTCACAAGCTTTTAAGACCCCAGACTCTCCTCACCACATTAACAATAGAACATACCTTTATAAACTATATACCCACTCCTCATTTACTGACAGTGAGGTTCCAAAGACCAAGTTGCTCTGTGAAAATGGAGGATGGTCACATGGCTGCCAAATTACATCAGTACACAACTACCAAACCACTGAAAATCATGGCACAGCCAAGTTGACACCGAATCGTAACCATCACAGCCAGCGTTATTCTCATCCCACATCTCAGCATTCATAATTCCCGAGGTACATTGTGAGTGCACAAAATAGGCATGTTTTACTACTGTGGAAATGCGAAATGTCAGATGACGAGGTAGTTGGTAAGTGAGGAGTGGGTGTATTATATCAATTAACTGAGTTGTCCCAAGAGACTATGGTCCTAACCCTTCAAACCCAGAAAACTGATCTCGCAAGGTGTTTGGTTATGTATAAGACGTATTCGTAACTGCATCCTCGATGTGTTTATTTTGTGTCTATGGATGTGCATGCATGCACCAGACATACATGCATGCACCAAACATACCTGTATGCCTATAGATATCTGTCTGTGCACATGTGTATCCACATATTCATACATGTATGTGCCTATATACATAGCTGTGTGTTGTTGCTGTTGCTAAATCCCATTGAGCCAATTCCAACTCATAGTGACCCTGTCTAGAGTTTCTGAGGAGCAGCTGGTGAATTTGAACCACCGACCTTGCAGTCAAGTGCTTATCTTACATCTCAACACCAGAACTCCACGTATTTGTGTAACCACACATTGGGGGGGATTGTTTTTAGAATTGTTGCAAAATTGTGGTCATATCCTTTCCTGAAAACAACTTTTTTTCTTAGTGACGTAATTTCCTTGGGAACAATATTAATCTGCGTTCACCCACACTGGATGCTACTGCCTCTTCCATTACCAAAATAATGTAATACCAAATATATTACAATAGCAAAATATCCACTATCAGCCCCCACACTCATTTCTAGTAGCCACCAATGAGTGCCCGCCTCTGTATCTATAGTTACTCTTGTCTTCTTATAAAAGTCATCATATTTGTCCTTTTGTGATTGACTTACTTCACTCAGCTTATAACGTCCTCCAGATTCATCCACATTATAAAATGTTTCAAGGACTTGCTATTCTTCTCTATGGCTGCGTAGTGAGTGCCACATTTTGTTTATCCATTCAGCTGTTGATGGGCACTTAGGCACTTTCTATCTTTTTGCCATTGTGCACAATGCTGCCGTGAACCTGGGTGTGCCTGGGTCTGTCTCTGTTGTTGTTAAAGTGCCATTGTGTCACTTCTGACTCTTAGTGACACTGTTTAGGATTTCTGAGGCTATGAATCTTTCTCCCTCGGAGCAGCTGGTGATCTCAAACTGTCAACCTTGTGGTTAGCAGTCCGGTGCTTATCCTACAGAGCCACTGTGCTCCCCTACGTCTATGTCTCTTTTATTTGGTCTCTATGATATAAACTCAAGGTCAGTGGTTCAAATCCACCAGCCACTCCTTGGAAACCCTATATAGGGTCGCTATGAGTTGGAATCAACTCAACAGCATTCAACAACAGTGAGTCGGAACCAACTGGTGCTACAGGATATGATCAGGACCACAAGGTCGGTTTGAACTACAAGGTTGGTGGTTCAAACTCACCAGCTACTGCGCGGAAACCCTATACAGGATGGCTATGAGTCAGAACCAACTTGAAGGCACACAACAACAATGAGTTGGAATCGACTCGGCAGCACGTAACAACACCAGAGTATAAACTGGAGTCTGTGGAACTGAACTGTTAATCATAAAGTCAGTGATTCAAACCCACCAGCCACTCCTTGGAAACTCTATATACAGTCATTCTGAGTTGGAACCAATTTAAGAGCATGTAACAACAACAAGGTACACAAATAAGAATGAGATTGCTAGATCACAAGTTATTTCTGTTTTTAATTTTTTAAGGAAGCACTAGACCATTTTCCATAATGCTTCTCACCATTTTACAATCCTACGGAGTCCTGGTGTGGCGCTGTAGGTTAATGCGCCAGACTGCAAAGCCGTTTGAACTGCAAGGTGAGCAGTTCAAGCTCACCAGCTGCTCCTTGGAAACCCTATACAGGGTCGCTATGAGTTGAGATTAACTCGACGGCACTTAACAACAGCAAACAGCATGGATAAGGATTCCAATCTCCCTATATTCTCGCCAACATTTGTTATTTTCTAATTTGTTTGTTTTTATCAGTGCCATTTTTGCAAGGTTGTGTTTTATGCATTTCTAAGACACACACTGATCTCCATTTATAACACCCTGAAACTGGGGTGTGCCTCACACGGAGTTAATTCGTAGTGCGAGAAGCCATGAGGCTGGCCAGTTTAGGGGACATGGCAGTGACATTTCTTATTCTAATAGTCAGTTAATTATACTTCCAACAAATGAAAATAGAATGTCCCTGAGAAAAGGATACAACCGAATCTGTGAGGTTATGCTTCCTAAACCAGTGAAAGTAAGTAACAAGAAATACTAGAAGAAAAACACTGGGTAATGTTTCAAACTGTCATCCTGGCATATGGTTCCTGCTGAAGAAAAAAGCTCCAGGTTTACTCAGGGAGGGAGAGGAGCTGTATGCTGAAGGCCGGTGGAGCAGGCTTGCAGGGTATGCCCTTTGGTTATTTGAATGGTTATATATTCCTGAGTGCTTCGATGTACATCCAAAAATAAACCAGAGGGATTGGAAGCAAATGCTGTTGAATGATGATGCATGGAGGAGATTGTAAATCATTGCAATGAAATGAAATACGATTGGATGGATGTAAAACTGATGTTCTCCCATGTAAACTATCACTCAATTCACAATACAAACTTTTTTTAAAAGCTCCAGGTTTTATCTGGCCTTTCTGCTGAATGTCTTACTTGTTCTAAGGGTTTTCCCACTAGATCTTTTGGGCTTTTTCAGCAGTAGTAACAAACTTATTGTTGTTAAGTGCTGTCAAATTGGTTCTGACTCATAGTGACCTCATATAGGATTTCTGGTGAGTGGCTGGTAGGTTTGAACTGCACACCTTGAGGTTAGCAGTCCAGTATTTATGTGCTTTTTTAGGAGTCTCTGGGTGGCATCATTGGTTACATTCTTGGCTACTAACCGAAAGGCTGGCAGTTCAAACCTCCCCAAATGTACCTTTAGTGGAAAGCTTGACCATCCGGCTTCCAAAATGTCACAGCCATGAAACTTCTACGGAGCACAGTTCTCCTGTGAGACACATGGGATGCCCATCACTTGGAATTGACTTGATGGTAGTTGGTTTGGGGGTTTTTGGCTTAAGGTGCCTTTTTTCAAGTTTTTATTGTGAATTGAATGATAGTTTACATGGGAGAACATCAGTTTTACTCATCGTTTCATTGCAATGATTACATTCTCCTCCATGCATTAAGATACTTTTTGAAAACATTCATTCTATAAAGTGTTGTTAGGTACCATCGAGTTGATTTCAGCGCAGAATGATCCCATGTAACACAGTAGAAATGCCTCAAAGGGTTTTCTTGGCTATAATCTTTTTTTTTTTTTTTAATGTGTTTGGTGGCCATTTGAACATCCTTTGGCGATGTTGTCAATTCAAATCCTTTGCCCATTTTATGATTGTCTTATTTGTCTTTTTGTTGTTAAGTTGTTGAAGTTTTATATATATATATATATATTGATTCTTATATTCTTGAAAGGATATTATCCCAATTGGTAGCACTTCTTTGGAAAAGTCTTTTCATTAATAAAAGTTTTTAATTTCTATGAGGTTCCATTTATTTATTTCATCTTTGGCTGTCCATGCTTTTATTATGATATTAGATAATCCGTTGTTGAACGCTAAGTCTGACAGCACTGCTCTGATTCTTGTGTGTAAATTCTTCAGGGCACATTTGAATGGTTTTGTGTGTTGATTGAGGCAAGAATCCTGTTTCGTTTTTCTGTATGTGGAAATGCAATTTTCTCAGCATAGATGTGGGTATTTCTGGACTCTCAAGCCCATTCCATTAGTCTATATGTCTATTGCTAGTGTGGCACTGTGGGTTAATGCGCCAAACTACAAAGCCGTTTGAACTGCCAGGTTGGCAGTTCAAGCTCACCAGCTGCTCCTCAGAAACCCTATACAGGGTCGCTATGGGTCTGAACCGACTCGAAGGCACTTAACAACATAGCAATACTAGACTGTTGTGATCATTGTAGCTGTGTATTGTTATTGTTGTTATTACATGCTATCAAGTCAAGTCCAACTCATAACAACCATGTATAGTGTTTGCAAGGAACGACAGGTGGGTTTGAACCGCAAACTTTGTGGTTAGAAGCACACCAGGATTGTAGCTATATAGTTTCTCTTCTGATTGTAGCAATAGATATACAACAAAACATTTGCCAATCCAACCAGTTTCACATGTGCAATCCACTGGCTGTAATCTTTACAGACGTCAATGAGACCGTCTGCTTTTGTAAAGATTTATAGCTTCAGAACCCCTATATAGTTCTATTCTGTTCTATAGGGTCACTGTGAGCCCTTTAAGGTAGGTTCTGTGTCTTAGAGATTGGGGAAATGAGGCACAGTCGAGACCTCACAGCGAGCAAGTGACAGAGCTGGGATTAGAACCCCACCAGACAAACTCACATTATCATTGAATGCCCTGGGTGGCATCCCTGGGTCCAGTCACTTTTTAGAAGACAAAAAAGTTCCGACAGGTGTTTAAGACTATGTATGCAGGTGTGTGTGAGCAAGAGCGTAGGGGTGGAGAGGTCTGAGGGAAGCCAAGACTTCAGCCCCCTGGAAGACCCCCTCCATCTCTCCCAGCTTTTCCTCCTGGAGGAGATGCGAGAACGCAAGTTTGATGGCTTTGCACGTACCATCCAGAAGGCCTGGAGGCGCCACGTGGCAGTCCGAAAGTACGAGGAAATGCGGCAGGAAGGTGAGAGGCTGGAGGGGGGATAGGAAGGCAAATGGGGGCGGGGAAGGGGAGACGGGATGGACCAGGAAGAGCCAGGCCCTTATTCCTTATGTAGCTACCTCACCTAAACCATACTCCTTCACAAGACCTGGCCAGTCACACAACCTTCACCCTGTGTTCCCACAGCCTCCAACATCCTACTCAATAAGAAGGAGCGGAGGCGGAACAGTATCAACCGGAACTTCGTCGGAGATTACCTGGGGCTGGAGGAGCGGCCAGAGCTGCGCCAGTTCCTGGGCAAAAGGGAGCGTGTGGACTTCGCTGACTCGGTTACTAAGTATGACCGCCGCTTCAAGGTAAGGCACTAGCAGTGGGCAGGTCCAGGACCCACCTAGCCCAGACATAACAGTCCACAGGTATGCATTCAGTGAGCCTAGATAAAATTTCCATCAAATATGCCTTTATCTCATTCCCATATACCCACCTGTCCATTCAGTACACCCTTACCTGGCCCAGACACACCTGTCCACAGGTGTATGTAAACCTAGCCTAGATATACCTGCCCCATCACAGATACACCTTTATCTGGCCTAGACACCTGTTAGGTGCTGTCAAGTCCGTTCTGACTCAGAGCAACCCAATGCGCAACAGAATGAAACACTGCTCCATACTGCACAGTATATCCCTAGGTATATATTCACCTAGCCTAGACTCATACAGCCATAGGTACATGCTTACCTGACCCAGTCACACCTGCCCACAGGTATACACTCAATGAGCCTAGCAGAACTCTTCCTCAAATATGCCTTCATCTAACCCAGATACACATGACACTGGATACAAACACCTGGTCCAGACACCTGTTCACAAGTATACATTCATCTTACCTAGAAGGCCTGAAAACAGAGCCATCCTCATCTATGCGAGACACAGCTGTCCCTCAGGTACACCTAGATACATCTGGTCCACATATACCTATCTACAAGGTACACTAGACTGGCCTAGACAGCCTTTTCCACATGTCCAACTGACCTCAGCAGGCTTGATGAGAGAGTCTTTCTCAATCTGGTCCAATCAGTTCTATCAACAGACAGTTCCCCTACCTGAATTGTAAACAACGCTTTGGTGTCTACAGCTAGACACCCCCATCACAGATAGATACACCCCTCACCTGGCCCAGATAGCCCTGGTAACCTACATCTTCCTGTACACTCACACCTGAACTAGAGCCCCTCACCTACACTAGCTATCTGGGCATCCCCATCACAGCTGTATCCTCACCTCAGACATTCCTGTCCACCAGGAGATGCACCCTCACCTAAACCAGACTACCTATCATGTTCCAGACAGTCACCTAACACCAACTAGCCCCTGTGCCATGGATACATGCTGAGATAACCACAGATGTTTACCTGGATGGACACTCAACACTGTCCACCTGCTTTAGATACGTTTATATGGGAGGTACTCTGTCACACGGGGTAAATACCCTGGTCCACAGATAGACCCTCATCTGAATTATACCCCCTCAAATATCCCAGAAATACTGGCTCGGTACAACCTCCTATCTCAGACATCCTTACTAGGTTTGGGTACACTCACCTGCTTTGGACAGGTCTATGTGACAGGTGTGGCACTGCAGAATAATGCAGTGGACTGCAAGATCAGTTTGAATCCCAAGGTCGGTGGTTCAAACTCACCAGCTACTCTTCAGAAACCCTTATACAGTGTCGCTGTGAGTTGGAACTGACTCAACAGCACTTAACAACAATAAATATGGCAGGGACACCCTCAGCTGACCTATATCCCACTCCCGGTGAACATTTTCAGCTAAGTAGATATCCCCACTGAACTCATACAGCCTTCATCACAGGTCCACTCTCAGCAAACTGGCCCATATACCCCTTCCACCAGATACACCTTCATCTGCCTAGCTGAACAGACTCCCACCTGGCCTTTACTCCCTCTCATGAGCCAAATACCTTTATCTGAGTCTCTACACCTTCACCTGATCTGTATTTCTTCACAAGACTTGACTGCAGTCCCATGACTCAGGTACTTTCAACTGCTCCTAGCACTGTCATCTGGACCAGCACTGTATCCACCCCGTATGTCTTCACTTAGCCTGAACCTGCTAACCATCCCAGACACCCTTTTCTAGTCAATATACCTTCATTTAACCTCCTCTTTCCTATGGAACTTTACCAACCTTATAGAAGGAGGCTTCAAAACATTTGTGAAAAATGGAATTCAAAGATACTGAAGTTTTTCCATGAACGTTTTTAAGGCCCCTCAGATCTTCCCCCGGAGGGACAACCTTCCCTGGCCCACTCACCCCATCCATCTGTACACCTTCACCTGTTCTACCAGCTTCACCCTTCTGCCTGGTATTGATCAGCTGGGGCCAGGCTGCCCATGCCCAGGGCCCTGACCACCAGCCTCTGGCCTTGCCTCCCACAGCCCATCAAGCGGGACTTGATCCTGACCCCGAAGTGTGTGTATGTGATCGGGCGGGAGAAGGTGAAGAAAGGTCCCGAGAAGGGCCAGGTGCGGGAGGTCCTGAAGAAGAAGTTGGAGCTCCAGGCTCTGCGGGGAGTCTCCCTCAGGTGAGACCAGGTCCCCACTGGTCATCCCCACCTGCCCCCTTGTCATCCTCAGCTATAACTGTCATCCTCTCTTGGTAGTGTAGTGGTATGAATCGGGCTGCTAACTGCAAGGTCAGCGGTTTGAATCTACCAGCTGCCCCAAGGGAGAGAGAGAGATGAGGCTTTCTGCTCCTATAAAGATTTGTTGTCGTTGTTAAGTGCCACTGAGTTGGTTCCAACTCATAGCCACCCTGTATTTACAGCCTTGGAAACCCTATACAGGTGGCGATGAGTCAGAACTGACTTGATGGTACACAGCAGTCTATCACTTTACCTGCCATCTTATTTGTGACCATATTTACATACAACTTCTGTCCCCACCTTACCCTCTGACCAGACTTTACCTGGTCTTTATCACCATCATTTCTAGCCCCTTGTCCCCTATCTCCCTTTCTTGACCTGTATCACTTGTACCTTACTTGACCTTCCCCTGTGACATCTCATATGTCTGTTCTTCAGCCACTTTTACCTGTATCTCACCTGTTACCATTCATCACCCTCCTGTGTCTCACTGTCACCCTCATGTGTCTTACCTGTCACCCTCACCTCTCACCTGTCACCCTCCCCTGCCTCACCTGTCACTCTCACCTGTCTCACCGGTCACCCTCACCTGTCACCCTCAAGCATCTCACCTGTTCCCCCTCTCCTGTGTCTCACCTGTCCCCCTCACC